AACTCATCGCCTGTGAGCAGGTCCTGAGGAAGGTGCAGGGTGCAAGGCAGGTCATCACTTTTCTCATCAAGTCGCACATCAGATGAGCCTGCTCCCGACGTCCATGGGTACCATTAAGTTGCTCTCCTCTCTGAACATCCTCCGTCTTGTATAGCTCACCATCCCATTAGCATTTTCCATCCCTCCTCATTTCCAGGGATTCAGTTTGCTGTGAGGAAACCTGAGTATCAACGTTTATGCTTTCTTACCTCTCATATGACCTCTCATAGCATCATTTCAGTGTGCTATTAAGCTAAGAATATCCCAGCCTTTGGGCAGTTGCTCCCCTCACGGATCTGGGGAAGAAAATGGCAGGGATAAGAAGGCAAGTGAAGGGAGCAAGCAGAAAATTCTCTCCTGCTACAGTATCTTGAAGAAAAGAGGGAGTGTGTGTGCCTAGCAATATGCCAGCAGTTTGCAGTTCTGGGAGGGTGGGGCTGCTGTTGCTCAAGAGAAGCTGTGGATTGACTCTACAGGATAGACACTCAAAGCTACACAAATGCAAACCTCTGGTATTGACAGAATTAATGTTAGCAATTTTGACTATTCAAGAGATAAATACCGTAATTCTGGTAGTTGTAATTGTGCAGACACGCTGTGATGGGCAGATTCTTAAGGTGACTCCCCATCACCCACACACCCTGGTTATTCACACTTTGGCACAATCCCTTCTTGAGTGTGCACAGGGATGTGTCTTGCTTCTAACCAGTGGTATATAGCCAAGGTGATGGGCTGCGTGTGGTTACATGTACGTGATTGCGTTCAGATAGCGGTGCCCATCTTTGCTAGGATATCTCTTGCTTGCTCGCTCGCTGTATTTGTCTAGGAAGCACATTGCCATGAGTGGCTTGTTGGGGAAGCCCGTGAGACGAGGAACTGTAGGCAGCCTCCGGTTGCTGAGTGTGGCTTCCAAGAAACAGTCAGCAAAAAAACAAAAAAACAAAAAAACAAAATGAAGCTCTCAGTCCTGCAACCACCAGGAACTGAATCTCCCCACAGTCTCAGAACAGGAAAGCGGACTGTTGCTAGACAAGCCTCCTCTGCAACCTTGATTGCAGCCTGAAACTGGGAGGTGATAAAGGTGTGTTGCTTAAGCTATAAGTTTGTGGTGATTTGTTACGCAGCAGTATGACTAATACAGGTACTAATAATAATTTCATGTATAGCAAGCTTAGAGTTCAAGAACTCATCACTTGATTCATGATTGAGTATCATGATAGCACAATATTGTCTTTACACTTTGTTTTACACAAATGCCAAAATTCTTACTAAGAATGCAAAGGCATTCTGAAATCTTTTCAGTGGTACTTGACTGCAGTTTTTAAGCAAAATTGTATTTGCAATGGTCTCTAGATATATTCCCCCCTAAATGGCAAGCATCTGCTACGTTGTAGGACAGATGAGATCTTTTCACAAAAAGTCTCCTCTGCCCGGCATAGACATTTCATCACTTCACCTAGAAGGGGATGATTTTTAACTTTCTGATAAAAGACAGTCGGTAGGTCAGCTGCTTAAGAAGATGCAGCTGAAAGAGATTGCAAAACGATCTTAGGGTTCAGTGATTAGACATACGGGTACAGTGCTAATGCCTTGTTAGTGCCATGTACTGTATTTCTACTCCAGGACAGTTTTGGTGGGTTGGTTAGCTTAGATTGTTTGGTGCAATGTGCAATTTTTTTTTTTGTCAGAGTTAGAAGCAGTCTCTCAAGGTCTAGCAAAGGTCTTTTGAATATTAACTTCGTATATTTAAAAAAAAAAAACACCTCACTCTTGCACCGCATTGTAAAAGCAATTTCTTTATCACGGTTGAGCTTACATTTTTGTTTTTTTTTAACCACAGCAGCTTCTTCTATGATTCATGAGCTGGTTTCTTCCAGATGTGACACATTATTCAGCAAATCTGTGTGATACTGCATACTTTGCTGTGGTGGAAGATTGATAGCCTACACTTTGGTCTTCCATCTAGATGTTCATGGAAACATTACTGTCCCTTCCAGGGTGAAATTTACAGGTCACCATCATCACTTGACCATTTATTCAACACTTAAGTTTGTGCCAGGGCAGGGACTTTACACACATTTGGTTCACCTCTACATCCACTCTGTGAGGCTGGTATTCGTCTTCTGGGTTGTCAGAAGGAGAAACTGAGGCTCAGAGGCTAGGTTCCTATTAACTGCCATGAGACCCTAGTATAAATGACATGTGACAGTCCAAAGGCAGGATTTGATTCAGTGCTTGTATCATTTAAACAACATGAAAGCTTTCTAAGCCCATTTTGATATGAGAATTATCCTGATATAATTTGGCATTTAAAGTAATAAAAGCCTTATTTATCCTAATAGTTGTTCCCAGTGGCAAAATAAAGAAACCTACCGTGTCAACATTCAGTGCACGGCTTGTTTGGACCTGGGTTCTGGTCTCAGTTCCTTTTCAGTGCACTCTGCCCCCCTGGAGAAGTCACCTCACCTGTCTCGGCCATAGTTTATTTATCTGTGAAAGGAATGAAGCAGACTCGAATTTCTTGGAGCTTCTAGCTCCAAGACGAGAACTACCTTATTAACTTCTTTTAAGAAGAAGGAACTTTTTTATTCTGATGACAAAGTGACACCATATGTATATGTACACACACACACGTATACACTTACGCATACACATTTTATTTTTAAGTAATAAAAAGCAAATTAGCTTTCTATCTTGATCACTATTCAGAAGCAGTAAGCATACTTTTTACTGATCCTGGTTTTGCATTCCCACTCTTCTTAAAAAAAAATACCTGAATTCTAACCATCGGGCATTTGGGGAATGTCTAGCCCCTCCCGCCCCCACCAATCTGGCTGGACTTCAAGATGAAAGCAGACTGATGAGCAAGAAACCCCCATCCCAGGCCCTCATATGAAATTCCCAGGAGTTGCCAGACATAAAGTGACTTGATGCCAAAACATCCAGGTGGGGAAGAAAAATTAATAAATTATAGGGATATTTTATATATACAATTCCAAATATGGCTCCATGGAGTTTGGAAACATCTGGGTGATGAATTGAAATTCCACTTTTGCTTCAGCTCTTTGGCATAACGTAAACACAGCCTGCAAGCCCCGAGAGATAGATGGGAGAGTCGGAAACTGCAAAAGGTAGATTGAGAAAGAATCAGATTTTAAAATTGTGGCCCATGATGCTTGCCAAATGGGGGGGGAAAAATTTAAACCTCAAAGCAGTCCAAAGCATTTTCTCTCAGAGTTAAATTAAAGATAGTGTCCCAGGTAGCTAAAGTTAGAAACTATTTTGCATAATTTTTTACCCTTTAGATGTAAATTTGGGGAAACACATTTTTTTTTCATTTTAGTTTATATTTGTTTTAAAGACCTATTAATGTGCTGTTGGTTACAGTTTTCTCCTATTGATTCTACAGATGAACTAAGATTTTGGGCATCGCAGAACTATTTTCTGAAAATAGTGTTCAAAAGTGCTATTTCTTTGAAAGTACCAGATGAAGATATACGGTATATAGTACCGGCAGTTACAGTATGAATTTTAAAGCCTTTCACATCCAATTACTTGCAATAAGTTAGTTTCTTTCCCAACCTATCATAAATCATGTATATATAAACGCTACAGAATTTAAATAGGAGTAGAGTTTTATTATAATAGTACATCACTAAGAATCAGTATTTTTGTTATATATAGTACTATTTAACATATATGAAGTAAAATCTCATTGATTTGGGTTTGCTAGCTCAGAGTTTGTGGAGCTGGCTTCAAGTTGACTCTTCATTAGGGAAAAGTCGTTCTTCATAGAAAGCTCAAATTAAAGGTGTAAATAAGACTGCAAATGGGAATGTATAAAATACGTAAGAGTAAATTTCAAGTACTTTAGAAGTACCATTTGCATATGAAATTATTATGCTAATTATAAGTAATTCTTATTAAAGTAGGTCTCCTAAGATGATCTTCTAGGCAAGTTCCCTTAGTGAATTTGAGTCACAGAATGTGGTGGAAAGTAATAAACCAGAGTTTCTTTTAAATACTGTATTCTCTAATTCAGAATTTTCATTAATTGTAAATTACCTTTCTGCTAATTAATCCAAATTGCTACCATTTTGCTAGCAATTTCAAAGTGTCTACTATGAAGTCCGAGCAGGGTTTTTAAAGATAGGGGTCAATTATAGTTTTCCAACTAAATTTTGTATTTTCCAGTATCATATTGATAATGTTTCTATGGTCTAATATTGTACATTTCCCAATGGTTAGAACTGACATGTAGATAAAAGTCATTTTCAAAATTGAGAGGGGAAAAAAACCCAAAACCTTTGCAACAGAGGTGAGTCAAAGTAGAATCAGTTGCCTTCTCAGGTACATGGGTTTCCTTGTCAATAAAAGAGTCCAAGAAAAAGCTGGAGAACGCTTGGGGAAGGTCAAGTATTAGACTAGCAGTTAGACCTAACACTGTACCTAGTCTGCTACATACCAATTGTTTGTTTCCTGAGTAGTCATGTGTATGTTCCTGTTAATGTAAATATTGAAGTAACTCTTTGGAAAATGGAGACAGTGTTGATCTTGATCTGAGTCTGAGCTCCCCAAAGTGGAGATGATGGCTGAGAATTCCATACAGCCCCACCAACACCCCGGCTATTCCTTTGCATTCTGAGAAACAGCTAAACACAAAGGACTACCCTGCTTTCCCATATTCCGAGACAACACCAACCTCTATCTTGCCTCCCAAATAAGATCTGTCTCCATTCTTCCTCCTGACTCCCAGAAGACTCCTTGTTTCTTGTTTACGTGCCTCTCTCAAACCTTCGACTCGCTTCTTTTCTTGGAAATTGTCCTCATTGATAAGTTCTCCCTATTGCAATAGCCTGAATAGAATCATCTCCTGATTTGGCCTGTGTGTTTTGTCTTTCAGTTTGGGGATGTGGCTTGGGTAGCATTAGACCTCATCTTTAGATTTCTGCTTTTTCCAGCTAGGTAGCACGGGCAGTCCTTCCCTGGCTGGCGAACTGAGGAGCCAACATTGAGTCCGATTCCTGATCTTGTACTCTGGACACTTACCCCTTGGCAACAAGGTAAGGATGTGATTTTTATTCTCTTTGAGTACTTGCTTGATTTCAGGTGCTGACTTCTTTTGGTTTCATGGCCGGACCATTTGGTGATTTCTTCAAACAGATTAATGGGTTCTAGAAATCTTATCTCTGTTGGAACCTACTTGTAAATTGCACTGCAGTTTTTGCCTTGCTCAAATTGTCAATCCATACAAAATTTTCAGTTCTTCCCATTTCCTTTGATATCTGGCTACAGTTCTCCAAACTAGTGTTTCCAATTTTTCTTCCCTTTGCTTTGGCATCATCAAGAACTAAAGTCTACTGCCCAGATCCCTCTCACACTCCAAAATCTGAATAAGTCCTGCAAGCTGAAGCCCAGAGACTTGATATTAACCTCAAAGGACTCTTATGCAGCCATTTGTGCAAGGACCTGAATTCTCTCTGGTCAATAGTCTGGACCATTAAGGTAGTCCAGTCATGCATGCACTTGTACTAGAGGTAACCAGTGCTGTGGACAGCATCACCCAGAGCATCAGTGTTCTAGCTCAAGGGCATCAAGAATGCATAACTGCACAATCGGAAGATTTTCCTCCACAGAGTTCTCGGAATCCAGTGAACTAGTTATCCTCATGGTTCCATTTCTGGCTTTCTATTGGAATACAACCTTTTATATTAATTTTTCTTCATTTAATGCATTCCTCTTTTAAGATGCCTGATTTCCAAACTCTAAGAAAACTGACTTTTGCCACCACCTCTCAACAAATGGTTCAACTGGGTTTGAAGAAATGCAAACAAGAATCCTTCAAGACACGATTTCCTAGACCCTGTTTTTGATCACCTCTGAAATGTTCAGTGACAAATTATACTCATTCATCTTGAACAAAAGGGAAGACTGACAGTGTTGAACTTTGCCTGAGTCTTGTGCTCCAAGAAACCAGACACAGTTGAAAATTCCTCCCTACCCTTTGAGGTTCTGAGAAAGAGCTGTCCTCAAGGACCACTCTCAGCCTTAGGACCTCACCTGTTCTGAGCTAAGACTTACCTTCATCCTGCCTCAGTGACTCAGATAAGACTCATCTCCATCCTTCCTCGTGATTCCCATAAGACTAGGGGTAACTCCCTTGTTTGCTTGTCTCTGTAAGACCCGATGGCTCCTTCCTTTTCTTTGAGATGTTTCTGATTGAGAGCATTATCCTGATTGCAGTACGCTGAATAAAATGATTTCCTTGAGTGTCTTGTGCATTTTGTCTTTCACGGTTAAAAAAAGAAAAGAAAAGAAAAGAAAATGTTGTCAAAACACATATGTGACCACATACATCCTGGAGGACGCAGCCTATACAGAGAGGGCTGAGGGGAGAAGTTCATGGTAAGGTGGCTGCTCACAATCCCACAGAACTTGTCAGGCAGACAGTAGTCCTCCCTGTAGTGCAGTCTAATGAAATAATTGTCCACTATCTCAGCTGGGGCCTTGTAGACACCTCCTCAGAAACTCTGGTCCTCATTAATTTTATCTCTTCCTACAAAACCCATTTATTCCTGCCCAGAGAAAAATGGGACATGAAAATTTCCTGACTGCCTGGCTATTTATTTTCTGCAGCTGAAATTAAATCACTTGTCAAACTTAAAAAAAAAAAAAAGGAGATAAACTTGTTCACTTACTGTTGCTTATCGCTAAAAAGATGTCAATCTGCATCCGTTGTATAGGTCGGTTCCTGGTGTTACCATGTCAGACAGACCACCCCCCCCAACTTCTGCCTTCTGTATTTTATGAGCACTGGGAGTAAGAAAAGATAGGCAGATAAAAGAGAAGTGGGAAAAATGTAAAATTAGAGTAAAATATGTAAATTGGAAAAACCAAAGAACTTCCTTCCATAATTGGAGATCTCATCATAAAGGAGACCTTATCTTTGCAATCTACTTTATCTTCAAATTAAAGGTACAGAGAGACTAGATGTCCCTTTTGACTAATAATATAAAATCCAAGTTGCTTATGTCGCTTGTGTCATTCAAGTCCTGTTTTCAAAAAGTTGCATCCCAGAGACTCTTATCTTAAGAGGATGAACTGTTACTTCTGTAGCTTTTAATAACTGACAACTGCAGATTTAAATCCCAGGCTGTACATAAACTGTCAGCCTCCAAATTTGCCCAGACAAACAGAATTGGAAAAAAACAAAAATAACATGAGGAAAAAATGCTCTATTAACAGCTGTGTAAATAACAGCACATGTTAACTAGTAAAAGGAAGCTAGCAATCCCAGGAAGAACCAAAGAAGGAATTCAAGTTGCTGCAAGTAGATTTAGGAAGGTTGGCTGCCCTCTGTCTCCTTCCCAAATTTGGTTTTCGTTCAAAGTTATTGCATCAAGGAGCCTGGAGGAGAACCTTTCAAAGCAAACTCTTACATCATTCAAGAAAAAACAAGTATAAAGTGAAAACGTTTCTTTCCTGCCCTTTAAGGGGGAGAGAGAAAGGAAAAGAAGGCCAGTTACTACTCTTTTTGCCTCATCATTTGCCTGATTTACACATTAACTTTTGAATAGGGCTGCAAAACTGCTTCAAGTGCAAAAACACAGTGAAGAAACTTCTTCACTCCCTTTATGGCACCCACTGCACTTGGTCAAAGCCCCTTTGCTTGCTGGTAATAGAAACCTTTTGAAAGGTGCTCAAACAAAACAAGGGACTTTTATTTAAAAGTTTCCAGGGGAATCACTGGGAACTTGACAGTGGGAAGTATGATTGGGTCTTGTCAAGAAATAATGATTGTGTACCTGAAATTTGCCAGGCTTCATTCTACCTGCTGGGGAGCAGGGGTGAAAGGGAACACCAGAGACCCTGCTCCCATGGGCTTACATTCCAGCTGGGGGAGACAGACAACAGACACACAAGCAAGTAAATAAGGACGCCAAATGCTATTAGTTGCTATGAAGAAGATAAATCAGGATATTTTATGCAAAGTAGGATAAGAGTGCTGGAATTTGGCAAAGAGAGAGTGGGGGTGGGGGGGCTTCTTGCACTGGGGAGAGCGTTCCTGACTAGGTGACACTGGCATTGAACTTTAAATGAACTGAAAGAGGTTGGAGCTGTGAGTCCTACGAAACCTGGGGGAATGGCTTTGCAAGCCAAAGAAACAAGTCAAAAGCCGGAAGAGTAGAGCCCACTGTCCAGGACACATAGAATACAAGCCACATACGTAATTTTTAAATTTTCCAGTTGCGACATCCAAAAAAGCAAAAAGAACAGATGAAATTAAATTGAATGTATTTCATTTAGCCTCACATATGCAGTGCGTTGTCATTTCATTTCAGCATGTAATCTATATAAAAATTATTAATGAGATCTTTTACGTGTTTTATACTAAGTCTTCAAAATCCAGTGCACATTTTATACGTAAAACACATCTCAATTTGGATGCAAAGTTTTCAATAGGTAGGTGTAATCCTACTGAACAATAAAGTCGTGTTTAAAGGAAAAACAGACCTTACACTGCTTCAGTGTTTAAATTAAAATGTAAATGAATGAAAATGTAACTGGATTTAAAAATTCAGCTCCTGGATTGCACCAGCTCTAATGCAAGTACTCAGCAACTGAGTTGGCTCGTGGCTACCATTTTGGACAGGGCGGAATCAGAGGACGAGGAGTTCTGGAGAGCCGAGATAGATGGAGTGAGGAGTGAAGATCCAGGAAGGTAAGTCTTCTCAGCAGATGGTAAGGAACTGGGAATTTGGGTTTTATTTGAAGTGTAATAAATAACTATTAGAATTATGTTTGTTTCCTAACGCAGTTGTGACAAACTACTACAAGCTCAGCGACTTAAAAGGACACAGATTTATTATCTGGCCATTCTGGAGGTCAAAAGTCTGAAATGAGGCTTAGGTGTCAGCAGGGTTGGTTCCTTCTGGACGCTCCAAGAGAGAATTTGTTCCTGGCTTCTTCCCGTTTCTAGAGGTTGCTAACATTCCTGGGCTCACAGTCATTCCAAAGCTGCTTCGGTTGTTGCATTGCCTCCTTCTAGCTATCTGACCCTTCTGCCTCTGTCTTATAAGGACCCTTGTGATTGCCTTGAGCCCACTCAGATAGTCCAGGATAGGGTCTGTCTCTGGATCCTTAACTTAAACTTATGTACAGACTCTGTTTTGCCATGAAAGGTAAACACAGTCAAGTTTTGGGGACCAGTACGTGGATGTATTTGGTGGGGAGGCATTATTCAGCCTATCGGGGAGTAAGTAGGGGAGAAGTGATGTGATCTCATCTATGCTTTAATCATGCTACCTGTTAGGGAAAGAATGACTAACCCAGAAAAAAGTAGGAAAATAGGCTGAGAGGCTGGTTGGCAGACATCCAAGTGAGGGTGAGAAAGGCACCATGGAGAGATGCTAGTTTTTGCCTGTCCAGCACCTCTTTGACTCTTCCTTTGGGAAACTACTTACCATGACTACAGTCAGGAGCTTGGAAGGGTCACTGGGGCTGTTGCTTTCCTGGAAAAGAGGAAGGATATATGGCTCAAGACCAGCCACTCACCATAGCCCATTCACCTTGCCATGTTGGTTGGTTGAGCATGTGACTCAAAATGAATTTTTCATCTTGAATTGTTCAATCTGAAAATGGAGAGAAATTGGCCTTGACTTATGACTCATCGAGTTGAAATCTTGAGCAGTTCAGGAAGATGAGAAGGAAGTAGTAGGCTGATTACCAGACTGATAATGAAGGTCAGGAATCTTGCAGCTCAATAAAGAAGTGCTAGGCTTAAGATCCTTGGCAAGCCATCTTGTCAACACTACAGTTTATTTTCAACTCTATTGCATACTAAGCAACAATGTGCCAGAATCTATTTTTTTTTTAATAAAAACATACCCAGTTTAAAGAGAGGGGATAATGGTTGAATGTTGATCAAACAGATACAGATTTTTATGAAACTTGAATCTCAAGCAACTATTGCCTATTCATTCACCAATTCAACAAATATTTACTAAATTTCTGCTATAATCCAAGCACTGTTCTAGGTACTAGAACAGAGAGAACAAAAAAAGATAAAATTCTCTACTGTTGGTTAGCTTCCATTCTAATGGGAAGAGGCAAGCAATTAATGAAAGAAGTAAAATATAGACTGTTAAATGGTGTTCAGGACAATGGTGAGGAATAAATCAGAGGGCTATATGTCCTTCTATCTGGGGAGGAGGAGGATCGAGGGTGCAGGTTGATTAGTTTAGAAATGGGAATCACTCACCAGAGTATGTGCTTATGTTGGGGGGAGGGGAGGGAGACACCTTCAGGAACATTACGGTGGAAATGTTTGATCAGAAATGTAAGGTTATTTTAGGACCAAGAGGGAAGGGCCCTACACAGATAAAGTAAGTTTGTTAATCCTGTAACTAAAGCAGGTAAAACTGTTGAGTCACCATCCACTTTTTGCATGCTGAGTTGGTTTCACACACTAACCAGTGTCAAGGAGAGTTAACATCTTGAGCAGTTAACTGGAAGGAGAAATGTCACTGCCATCCCGTTGGTTCTTTGGCAGTTGCCTGTATAAAAAGTACCCTTTATGGGCTCTTCCTGACATTCACTTCTCACGCATTAATATTAAATCTCATAAATAACAAAATACAGATTTTCACAGTTCTCAAATTTGAGAAAAGGTTAAAATATGAATTGGCTACTCTTTGGCTGTGAAGTTCAGATTATGACCAAGAATCACAGTGAGCTGAATGAAAATGTTAATGTCTTTCAATAATTGCAAATTGATTTACACAAATACTCACATCCACTCACTCTCACAGACACACTTGTTCAACCAGTGTTGCTGGCGTTGTCTTTTCCATTAATATGAACACAGTTAGAGTTTTAAAACAGAGCTTAAATGAAATTTTATTATGGGATTTAGTCCAAAATTTCAATATGTCTTTGAGCACCAAGTAGGCAGGATACTACAGCTTGTGAATATTTCCTCAGAGCTCCAGACCCACTGTCTATTGACTATTGCCCTTAAGAAATCTCAAAGTCAGCTCAAACCTAACCTAGTTTTTTAAATTAATTCCTGGTCTTCAACACCACCACTTCTCTCCACCCTCCAAACCAGGACCTCCTCCAAGTGGGTACCATCCTCGGTGAAGAAACCTGCCTCTCTTGGAAACCTCTGGTTCCCATCTTTTGTCAGTCATGTTAGTTTAACCTTATATATTAGGGGTTGGTGAACTGTTTTTGTAAATAGCCAGATAGTGTTTTAGGCTCTGCCGTTCTTCATGGTCTTGGTCACAAATACTCAACTCTGCCTTTGTAGGCTAAAGCAGTCATAGACAATCAGTAAACAAGGGGGTGTAGCTGTGTTTCAATAAAACTTTATTTACAGCAATGGGTGTGAACCAGATGTGGCCTTCGGGCCATGGTCTCCTCTCCCCGTCCTATGACTCCTCTCCATCTTTGTTTTCCATCCTGATTCCCACCAGCACTTATGCTTGTCTGGATTATTGCAGTAGTCTCCCCACTAATGGCATTATTGGGTCCATCCAGTTTAGTGTCCACACATCCGCCAGGCAGTGAGTTTCCCCAGGCATCACACGCCAACACACCTGTTCAAAAAGCTGCATTGGCTTCTTTCGCTCTGATAATTATAAACCTCAAATCCTGCTGGTTGTACCCCTGGTCATTCCTGCTGTCACTCTCTGCAGCAAGCGCTCCATCCCATGCTGGGCTACTGACGTCCGTGGTCCCCCTGGTTCACAGTTCAGCTTCTGAGTCCTGCTCGAGAGCCTTTGTTCATGAGACTCTGTCTCTCAGAAGTATCCCCGTCTAGGCCACAGCGTCGTGAAGACAGGACCTATATCTGGTTTTGTTCTTCGTAGTATTAGCATAATGCCTGACACGTAGGAGGTTGTAGAAAGATGAATAGTAACTGCCCCTTCCTTGACCTGAGGACGGCTGTGTTCTAATCCTCAAAACCTGTGAACAGGTTTCCTTACTCGGCAGAGGGACGCTGCGGTGGGATTAAATGAAGCCTGTTGAGTCGGAGAGCGCTGCGGCGTGGATCAGCCAGGTGAGGCCAATGTAATCAAGGGTTCTTATAAAGGGGGGGG